TTAGACTTATAGACATAAGTTCCATTTGTTAACTTGAGTGATTTTAAAGTTTTAATGCACTTGTCAAAATGATTTTCATAATCTGCAATTGTATTATTATATAAAGGGGCTTTATATCCTTTACCAAGACAATTTCTTGTATTAAGATAATCAAACATTCTATAAGTTATTCATAAATTTATATCATAATTTTTATTTTACTGATCTATCATCAATATAAAATTAATTGTACCATCACAATTTTCAAATCCAGGAATCTCCTGATGCTGGGCAAAAAGAAGGCTATTTGCAACAGATGCACTAAAAACTTGAACAGCAAGTTTTACCTTAAAAAATATTTAATAATTATATATTTATTATCAAACTTTCATTTTTTGTTTTTGGAAAGCAATATGTGCTTTGCGCAATTTATTTGCAGCACGTAAACCTTCGCACTCCTGCAATTTGTGTAAATTTTGTATATGCTTCCAATCTATTAACTATAAATACAAAATAAATATTTAACCAAATTTAGCTAGCTACCTCTCCATTTGATTCATTTATTAAAATTTCCTCCTCCGCTAATAGATTTCTAAGTAATTTGAGCATATGACAAACATCTAGTAACATGTATATTTTTTCTGATTCATAAAATTCCAGCTCAATATATGGAATGATATTATCAGGATCCATACTAACACCAAGCAGTTTGCTCATTTTTTTATTAACAGCACAACCATCACATACTATGGCCTTACAGATAACTCCTGTTTCATTTATATTGAACAATGCAACTCTCACTAAATTAGCTAGGATATCTGAATTCATTTGTGAAACTAGAAAATAGGCTATTGGCATTTTCCAGCTGCTATTAAGACATGTAGCCATAAGAAACAGTGCCTTTGTTGCTTCTGGACAAGATTTATCTTCCTTTGTTGATTTTGTCCCATCACCTAAATCAACATAACCATGATATTCTGCTTTGTGGGGGTCATAATCTATTTGTGTTTTAATATGCATTTCATCAAGGCTAAGTACACAATATAACTGCTTTTCTGATTTTTTTTGGTAGCTTTTAATTTGGGTAAATGAAATAGAAAGGAAACCTTTATTTAATTTAATTTATTTTTTTTAAAATTATTATAATAAACCTGGCATGATTTCAATCTTGCTACTCCATGCCCTTAATGTGGATTCCGAAGGCATACAAAAGTGTGATTTGAGATATCTGTAAGCCTTAGGTGAATAAAAATGCATAGTCAATGCAAATTGACGTAATTCACTTGTATATATTTTTTTTTGTGGGTTTGAGATGCCTCCACTGTGTATATGTGTTTTAAGGAATATAGCAGATGTCCCTGTAAAGTGCCTGTCTATAATATTTTTGACATCATCTGATAACAAATTTTCATCTTTTAGTGAAGTGATTATTGTTTGTAAATTGATTATTTTATTTTTTCCTCTTTTTGAGCTCCTATAATAAGCATGTGCTCTTATTTTTAAGCGTTTAATTATAGCCTCTTGGTAAATAATTTTTCTTTTTAATGTTTCATATGTCGCGGAATAATTATGATCATTTGTTATATGTATAATTGGATCTTTTTCATATAATATATCACTTTTTAATGGTGTTTGTATATTTGAATAAACATTCGTTATCTAAAAAGTATATATTTTAAAATATTGTTTTAACTATGTAATGATATTGTTAACATACATCATGAAGTGGCTTAGATATACTAAATATCGATGGAATAGAATCTTCCTTCAATAAAATCTTTCCAGATATAGTTTGAATGAAACAAGTATTTTTAAAATGCCTTCCACAAATAATACTATATTTATTAGGCATAAAATTTTTTCTATTTATAGCATGTAACCATTTTTCCAATAATTCTTTGGATTTTAATGGAAATCTATATTTAAAAATAGGTGAATAATAATGAGTAAAATATAAGATATATTTATGACATTGATACAAAGATAGATAGTATATAACAATCAATATTAATATCAGATCAGTTATTAGTAATATAGTATTGAATCAGTGAAAATTTGTTGATTGGCAGAGCCTCTATTAATATATATATGGTTTACATATTTCTTACAAATATTTAAAAATGAAACTGTATCATAGTAAATATGTATTTTAAAAATGGCTAACTTAATATTTTATCCAGAAAAATATTTAGGCAAAGTTCAAAATAGAAATCTTATCAACTCAAGAGGAAGAAGCATTATTTGTCCTAGCAGTAAAAATGAGAAAACTTTATATTTTTACTAAATAAGGATTTTTTTTCAATGTTTGTAGCTTATTAATGCTTTATGTAATAAATATGTTGCATATAAAAAATAATATATATACTTATGATAAGAAATATGTGTATTAGATTCCATTTTATTTGTTTTATTACAATTATGAACACAGCACACTCCCATTATCTAAATAAAATAATAAATGATAGTGATATTAAAAGATCTGTTTTGCATGTATCCTAAGATGCATTAACATAAGATTTATAAATCCGTGCAGAATTAAGTTAAACTATATTTTAAAAAATTAAAAGGTGTGTTAGTCTTAGATTCATTTTTTAAATATAATCACCTAGTCCACATTCATAAAAAAAGTCTTATGAAAATTTAAGAATAAAAGATACTATAAAATATTATATCATAAATCGAAACCTTTAAAACTAAATTATCGTAGTAGACTTGTTTTCTATATATTAATATTTCTTGCTGACAAATAATGGATAACCAAACTACAAAATGGCGCTACAGCTGATTACAATGTGTGGACACTTTTATAATGCATTGAATGAATGAATCGTCAATCTATAGTTATATATATCATTGGGTTTAGCACATCTTTACTATTATATAATATGCAACACTACCTACACTCTCATTGGAAACAGTTATAATTTAATTTTTTGGGTCTAAAAAATCGACCAAACCAGCTCTGGGCACAGACCCGGGGTTCAGACCCGGAATTCAGACCCGGGGTTCAGACCCTCATTAAGATAAATTATCCTTAATAATAATTATTAAAATTTATTAATTAATAAAAGATAAAAAGTATAAATTGATATTATAAATTATACTATATTTTGACTTTAGAATAGGCCCCCCCCCCTTAAATAATACGAATATCCAAAAGTATTCTAATTATCTCAATCAAATTTAGGAACTAATGTTATCAAATATATATATCCAATAGATACATTTCTAAAATTATTTAAAAAATCAATATTAAAAAATAGCGATGAAATTAAAAGAAAGTTAGCACCTCATTCTGAACTAGTAGTAAGGGGAATTGGCATAGCGATACTAATTTATTAAGCCAGGGTATGCTGACACACTTTCTAAGAAAGTTTCCAAGACCCATAGACCGGTCTGTTTTTTTGATTCCTTTTTTTCAATACCGGAAATTATTTTTAAAACTCACAAAAAAAAAGATTTATATTTTGATTTAAAAATTTTTAAAAAAATGAAATAAAAATTCATTACTGGATATATAAAATGCAAATGTGTTATCTTAAACATAGTAATTACTTATTAATTAGCGAGAGGAAAATATATTATAATAATGTATTATAGTGATCTGCATAGGGCCTAATTTTTACCAGCACAGCCAGCAAAAATTAATTTTTTATAATTATTCATATATTTATATTTATTTTAAAAAATTTCCAAGGCACTACCCGACCTGGCCGGAATTTTAAAAAATTTTTTTTAGAACCGACAAAGCCCAAACCCAATTTTTTTAAAATATGGGTTTAGCACATCTTTACTATTATATAATATGCAACACTACCTACACTCTCATTGGAAACAGTTATAATTTAATTTTTTTTAAAAAATTTCGGAAGAAAAGGAAGCTTTTCAATAAATTTTTAAATATATTTTTTACAATTCAAATAAATAAAAATTATTTCACTTTTCAATGATAATATTAAAAACTCTTATATCAATCAAAAAAATATTCTTGTAGGCACTCTTTTTTTAATATTTTGCAATCTAATAATAAAGCCATATAAAATTTTAGAAACATGCTGTGTCAATATTTTTTTTTTTTAAATTTTTTTTTTCTTTCATCAAGGCAGGAGAGGTATAAAACATAAAAGAAATATTATATTAATAAAATTGAAAAACATCTGTATAAAGGGGTAAAAAAATAAATATCATGAAGATCTTTGAAGATCGTTACACAAAATTTTTAAAAAATAAAAGATCTTCAAATTTTACGTCAAAGATCTAGATCTTTGAAGATCTTTTTATTTTGAGCAAATGTACAACTCTGCTGCATAGTATATTCCAAATAATTAAAACATAGAATATCATGTCCACTTTTGGATTTTTTATCAGTAATTTTGTTTTCTAAAATTACATCACTAAATTGATTATATCTAGATTGTTAACTTTGAATTATATTCGGATTTAAAACTATTACTTTTCCCGCACTTTATTGAACCAATAACATAATTGGACGAAACTTTACGATGAAGTGTCCATACGATCATAGGCACGGAAATCATTAGAGCTATCTTTTTATTGTAATTTAACATAATTGAAGATAAAGAGCTGCAATATAATATATAAGGATAAAGTAAAGCTACTTTTTTTTTTACTGTGATACTTAATTGAAAATATAGATTTGCGATATAATATTTTTGGATAATTTTAAGCTACCTTTTATTGTAATTTAGCTTAATTGAAGAAAAAGAGATGCAATATAATATTTATGGATTATTGAATTTTAAAGTAAAGTTATTTTTTTTTTGCTGTAGCTTAATTGAAAAGAGCTGCAAAATATTTATGGATTATTGAATTATAAAGTAAGCTAATATTTTTTACTTTATAAATTGCATTAAGCTTAAGATATTTGATCATATAAATTTTAAGTTAAGCGAAATTTTCTTGAAAAGTTAGTCGACAAATTACCTAATTGCAACTAAAAAATGGTAAAGGCACGATACATTTAATTTGAATGTTTGCTACCACGTGTTAATTTGAATTGAGTTCCGTTTCTCTTTGACATGAAAGTAAATTATAAAATAAGGCAAGAGGTTCAAGTTGTTAAATTTGAAAAAGTATGATTTATTAATATCACATTAATTTAATACAATTTTTGAGGTGGGATCTTCAACAAATATAAAAAAATTTAATTTTTGTAAATCAAAATATCATATAAAAGAAAATATTATTAATACATAGAGCTATATATTTTCATTCAACAGTTAGAAATGGCTTTAGAATTATTAGCCACTAATATATTTGATCACAGTTGGGTGTACAAGTGCCCATCAAATGAATTTAATAGTTATTATGAAGATAATTCTTATAAATCCAGTATAATTTTATCTGATACTACAAGAGAAAACTCTCCTGTTTTATATCAACCTGAAATAACGAACGATACTTCAGAGGAAGCTTCATCAAATAGTAAATTGGAAGATAAGGTTTTTTTTAACAAAAATATCATACTATATACTTTAAAATTTTAGAATTCTTTTGATGATGATTATGTTAATTTTCCAGTTTCATATTATGTAACTTCATATGTCTTTGATATACCTAGTATAATGGTTGGTAAAATGATAGGTAAAGGTGGTAGAGTTATTAAACTGATCAAAAAAATTTCCAATGCACAAATTTATGTAACTTTACATCCATATAAAGTTAATTACAATATTGTTGTTATTGAAGGTATATGAAATATAATATTTTTAATATTTTTAATATATAGGAACTGAATTTTGCATACATGTTGCACTTCAGAGAATAAGGAGTATATATCCAATTTATCAGTATCCTTATATAACTTTAATAAATATAAATGAAGAAATGATGCAACAATCACAGTATTCTTTATATTATGTAAGCTGTATATTAAAAATTAAAATGTAGTATATTTGGATAATGTTAAATATAGTTAGATATTTATTAAAAGAAATCAATGCTGAATATTTTTTGGTTCTCAAAAAAATTTTCAACCTTAAATTGTAAACTGAGGGCTAAAAAATTTTGATTATTGCCTTTATCAAGATATTTTATTTTTCATATTATTTTATATATTTTCATAAAAATATTGATAGGATAGTTAATAAAATAAAAATAATATATATCCCTTGATAAAGACAATGACTAAATTTTTATTGGAATTAGTAAGAACTAATGGTAGAAGCTTTGGATATTATGAGTAATCATCTCCAAATATTATTTGGTCATTCTATGCCAAATCAATCAAAAAATCATGATTTATGACTTTCCTTTTAATTTGGATGAATCTTATATAAACTAAGGTTCTTGTAATTTATACTTGGGCAAAATTTTAGCCCCTTTAAGGTAAAAGCATGAAAAATATCCTTTTTTCCAAGTATCTTTTATCATTGAATTAATGACAGTTTAAAAATTATGCACTTATGTATAAAAATCTATTATCAAAATAAAGAATATACTTCTCTTTAGAAAATAAAATTAGAAAAATATATTTAAAAATTTCTAGACCTCTTATTCTGATAAAATTTAAAATCCTCATTGAAAATTGGTTAAAACTGATTTTTTTAGTTAAACTATACTACCTTACCATTCTATTTTATAAAAAAATTAGATAGTGCTTCTGCAACTTCATGGACACAATTGCTAAATATTTTTATATTATAGATGACATTTAATTTTAGCCTAATGTTTTTAATAGTGTAATGATTATTTGGTTTAAGTCTTCTAGTATTACTATTAAAAAATATTAAATAAGTTTGCTAAAATGGCCCCTATAAGTTTGAAGTAATATAAGATTATTAAATACAATTTAGAATTAAAACATCGCCAAAAAATATTTCAATTTTTCCCAATATACAAGGTTCATAAATAGCTGGCTTTCATATTAGATCTGTGAGTCTCTAATTGTTGCTAATTGATTGTAAAATACCTTATTATTAGTAAGAAAAAGGTTTAAAAAAATATCTTCACTGAACATTTTTTTACAAAAATCTTTATAAAAATATGATTTCATTATGAAAGATTTGGAATTTATGGCCAAATTTGATCAAAAATTTTGCTTGAACATTTTTAATTTTTTTGATCTTTCAGGGATTGAAAATATATAAAGATGTTTTATAAGGAATATCTTAAACAAATGAGATTTGATAAATTATAATTATTCAAAATCTTATTTTTTACCCTTAGATTTCATTAAGAAATATAACAATATTATAAATTCTACTCCTTCACTTTCCATTTTCATAACATTAAATCATTTATTAAAATTAAAGCAAAGTAAGAACTTGTGATGAATGAATATATTAAAATTTATTATATACTATAATTATATATCAAATATTGAATTAATGTAAAGAATTACATTTCACAGTAAAATAATATATTTACTAATAAAATCATTGAAAGAAGGTCATCATAAACATATTATGCCAAAAACTGTCATACAAGGGAAGAAAATAAATATAATCTTTATTGATATTAAATGTGATACAATTTAATCATTATTCATGAGGTAGAGAGGGTTAATTGAATGAAAATACATCGTGAACTGTAGGCAAACATATTTATAATTCAATTAGATGCCAATTGGTTCAGGAATAGTTTGTTCATATAAATTTCAAGATCTGCTTCTTAAAAAAATTATTGCAAATATATTTGAACTTATTATTTCTAGATTGTCAATGACATAGTTATTGCTAAAATAATACTCCAACTAATCATTTCCAAAGAATTTTAGTATAATATTATAAAAGCCTAAGCAATAAGCTTTAGATATTTGAGCATATAAATTTTAAGCTTAAGGAAAATTTAAAAAGTTTTGCAACAAAACACCTAAACATAAAAATAAAGTAGAACTAGTGGTACGAATCCTATTTTTATTCTTAGTTTCATAATAAAGACACTTAATACATTGACATATGCTTTCCTAAAAATATATAATCTAATCTTTTGGTTGCATGCAAACTTTCTAATTTTATACAGTTGGTGCTGATGGATTTCTTGTCTAATCTTTTCTTTTTAATTAAAAGATTTTTCAGTACTTTCATCAATTTCTCACCGGTTTTGGATTAGAAATTAATAAAATAGCCTTTTCCATAGAAAGTATTTCTGCCATTCTGGCCTAAGATACTTGAAATTTCTTTTGAATAGACCCGCTATCTGGCATCAAGGTTATAATTTTCTATTGATTAGAATATGATCATTATGTTAATTTATCCTTAAGATGCACTAATATATTATCTATTTTATTTCATATTTGAATTCACTACTGTTTCTTCTACATTTAAGCTTGTTGCAATGGCTCTTGTTTTTATCAAAAAGAATTTGGGACATTGTCTTTACAATTACCTCTTTTTTTTGATTGGGGATTCCCTATGCTAATAGTGAATAGTTTTTTTCGAGTTTAATTGACAGTTAGTACAAATCTTTTCTAAGTTTTTTATTTTTGCCACTGATGGTTAGGAATAGTGTTGTTAAACGGCTCATTTTGAGCCGATTTTTTAAAACGGCTAACTCAATATTGTAGCCAGAATAATTTTACCTAAGCCTCGAGATTTCGATGATATATGTCTAGACCTTTGTTCCTTCTATGAGCAAAATCTTCAGGCTTGCGTAATATTATTCTGGATGAAATATTGAGTTAGCCGTTTTTAAAAATCGGCTCAAAACGAGCCGTTTAACAACACTAGTTAGGAATATTAAATGGATTGCAACATTTAAATTTTATTCAGTGAAATTTTTTTGTTAATTAATATTTTTTTGATCATTTGTTAACACATGTACACAATTTAATCGATATTTATAGAAAAAAATTCATTGTACAATTTAATATAGTTAATGATTTCTTTCATATTTTTTGGCGACTATTGTGAACCAATCTCTATGTGCATTCCTGTTCTGCTTACCTTGATTTTTTTGATAGAGTGTGATCTTTGTTTGTGAATATTTCGAATACTACTGCCAAATTCTGTGTCATATGTTTCTTTTATGTCATACTTAATTATATATTTTACTACAATTAAATAATTTTTATAATATGTAATGGAAGGTTCTAGCAGCACAGGGATGCACATGGAAATTGGTTCACAATAGACACCAAAAGTTTTGAAAGAAATAATTAACATATTATTGAATCTAGGAAAATAATTCCCCGGAAAAAAAATCCCGGAAAAAAATTCCCATAGAAAATAATTCCTCGGAAAAAAATTTCCCATTTTTTAAATCCTATAAAATATTAATTATTTTTATAAAATTAACAATATAGGAAAAAATATTCCCGGAAAAAAAATCCCTAAAATATTTTTTGAGAAAATCGTCAAAAATTCCTGCAAAAATTTTCCAAATAAAAATTTCCAAAATAAAATAGTACTTGTGATTAATATTAAACCTAACAAAAACTTAAATTATTAATTAATACTAATAAATATAATGTTATGGACTTATCCAGAACCCAGGTTTAGTGAAAATTAAACAAAGCAATATTTATAAAATAAACGAATTGGATACCTAGTCTCTCTGATATTATGCAAAATATTATGGCCAGCTCAGATTTTTTATTTTGACCCAGATTTATAAATTCAAAAATTACTTAGTCTCTGTAATATTAAGCTAAATATTATTATAAGTTAAGTAATGATAATGGCCAGCTCAAAAATTTCTTCATACGTTGTATGTTTTTCTTTGTAACAAAAAATATACCGCTGTAATAAACAGTGTTTTAAAGGGTATTCTAATTACATATAGCTATAAAAATAAATGAGGAGTCAATTTAAAATTTCCGTCTATATACCAAGTTTTCGTGTCGGCTAACATTTTAAGCATATAATCGGTGGCAAATATAATTATTCGTTCATTAGAATCTCCGCCATTATCATGCCAAAAGAAATCTCTCATTTGTGGGGGATCCGGTTGTAGCCCAATCCTCTAATATTAAAAGATATTTTCAATTAAAAAGTTATTTATAGACATAAATATGATTTAATTTGAAATGCTTAATTCTTCCAATGTGGCCGGAATAGGAGGAAACCTTTTTATTTTGTGATTTCTAAGTGTCATTTTGTTACTATCTTCATTCGGAAGTATTTTTCTGGATTCGGGAGACAATTTAGACATTTATTCTGCGTATATTTAGCAAGTATTCTGATTTGTTTCAGAGGCTTTTTTTTCATCGTGCTTATAGCATTTTCAATTTGATGTTCATGTATGTTTATAGGATGAATATGAGGCGTATTTTCCAATGTATTGTCATTATTGTAATATTTCAAAATAACTGGGCATTTTTCAGCATTATATAATGTACATTTGTATCTTTTAAAATTTTTCGTAATTTTATGATTGTAGGAATAGCCCTCATGAAAAATTTTAGCATGCTTATTTAAGGGAAGAATAAACATAAAAAATTTATTAAAATTATCAAAAATGCTTAAAATAGTAAAAGAAAATTTTATAAAAAGTAATAAAAAACTAAATGAAAATCGTTTGTTTCAAAATTACATAGAATATACCACCCAAATATATAAATTTATTTATTTTTGAGCATAAATTTCCTTTCAACGTTATAAATAATAATAATAATATCAGGGAACTAACTGGGATTATGTAATAACATTTCCGGAGTTGGAAACTTTCAAATAAAAAAAATATTTATAAAAATAAACAAATATTATTTAGAATAAATAGTATATTTTTTGGTAGCGTTCAATTACTTGAGATGGTCTTTGAATTAAATAAGCTTTTGTAATTAGTGATTAGGATCAATACTTTTTTTGAAAATTTATAATCAGATACAATTTTTAAAACCATAAAAAATTTCCATTATGGTATTTTTGTCCGGGATTCTAACTGATATAAACGAACGGAACAGAAAAGTGTCATAATATTCATTTTAATGTTATATATATTTTAACCTTAGTGGCGTTTAAGAAATACCCCCCCCCCCCTCTTCATGGTAAATATAATGTGGTTTAATTACCTGTTTTCATAATATCTATTCAAGTCTAGATGAAAAGTGGATTATGGAAATAACCTTTCTCTTTCTAGGGAAGAATTTGCTTTCACATTTTTCTTTTCAATTTTAAATTGTAAAACCTCTTTCATAATTTTCATATATTTCTATAAAAATCTATCGTCACAAATTTATACTTTTTATGCTATTTACTAAATTATAAAATATAAAAGCTGTCAACCGATATATCAATTCTCATTTAAAGATTGCCCTTTTGGAATTAAAAAAGAAATACTCTCAACGTTCAGAAAATACTAACATATTTTTTAGAAATATTTTCGTTATTTTAGCGGCGGGATTATTTTTTGATAATTTAAAAAAAACTATTTGGGGAATTTTTTCCGGAGATTAATTTTCCCCCATATATAATTTAAAATCTAAAAAATGGGGAATTTATTTTCGGGGAAATATTTTCTGGGGAAATATTTTCCATGGGAATTTTTTTCCAGGGGAATATTTTTCCCGGTAATTATTTTCCAAGGATTTTTTTCCCGGGGAATTTTTTTCCTGGGGTTTTTTTTCCGGGGAATTATTTTCCGCTTACCCATATATTTCATAAATTATTATACAAATTAAATAAAATAAATACATCATCTAAAGTATAAATATTTTTCAATTTGAAGTTGTATAGGCATGACTTTTTATTCTGGGAATAAGAGGTCTAGAAATTTTTAAAAGTATTTTTTTATTTTTATTTTCTAAAGATAAAAGGTTTATTTTATTTTGATACTAGATGTATTATATATAATTGTGTAATATCTAATCATACACTCACAAAAAGAGAATTTTCCATTCTTTGACCTTAGATATCTCCTAAAGTATGAAAGTTAGAAGGCTAACATTTTGCCCAAGACAAGAATCTTAGTTTATATACGAATTTTCATCAACATCGAAAGGGGTTAGCTGAACTGTGATGCTCGTCATGAAATCACCCTTTATAAAAATATTTAAATTTATATAATAAAAATTTGAAATAAACTGAAATATATAATAAATTGTAAAATAATTATACAATTTAAATAGTTTTATAGTTTGAACAGATAATTCTAAAATACAGAAATCTTTGCAGAGCTTAGGTGACTGATAATTTATTTTTAATGCTTTATAATGATAATTTTTATTTGGAAACTTAATTGACAAATAAAAGAAATATTTTATATAAAATATTTTTGAAATGAAAACAATATTTTTTGTTTCCAATCACTTAGTTATTTTGTTTAATTTAAACATATTATATTTAAAAATCATTTCTTAAGCTTTTTCTTCCTGAACAATGTTTGATCAATGTTAAAGTTAGTTGTGTCATATCAGCTGGTCACATATTCATACAACAAAACAGACACCCACTGTTCAAAAATTTGACTGCTTTGCAGGAATCTATGAAAATATACTATTCTACTCAAATAGCACTGCCAGCATATATTGATAATTGCACCAGTCATTCATTTGCTAATAATCTTATTCCTTCTCCTGTTTTATGTAAGTAGTATATAGTAAATTCCATATCAACAATCTGACCCCTCAGAATTTTAAATTTTATATATACCTTAACTAAGAAATAAGTGAAATTTAACTTCTTTGCACCACTTACTTGCTAAGATATTAGCTATTAAAAAATGGAAAAATGGTAAATTTTTGGCACAATGCACTTGATTAATTTTCAAATATCTCATGAATAAATTAAGCTAGAGCAATATTTTAAATTTTATATAGCTTAATAATAGATCTTTTGAATAAAATAAATGTGATAGAAATCAGATTAACACCAAAAACCAATGATCATGGAAAGAATATTAGATGGCTTTATTATTGCTTGCAACGTTCATATGATCATTAACAATATATTTATATAACTATGCAAGAAATAATTAGAGAGATAAATTATATATATGTGAACAATGATGAATATCTAAGTAAGAAAAATCATCTTAGTACCAGGTTTTTGACAGTAAAACAAATACACAAAATTTTATAATTGATTCTCCTAGGAAAAAATATAATGAAAGTGAAAATTTATCCAAATTCTTCCAGTGATTTAATATATGTTATATTTTAATTTTTATATATTATAAATTTTTTGTGTTATAAAAATTATTTAGCTAAATTGTTATTAATATGATCAATTTTTATATATTATAAATATTTTGTGTAGTTATAGAAATTATTTAGCCAAACAGTCATTAAGAATATATGATCAATTTTTATATAATATAAATTTTTGATTCTATTTCATGTTATAATTATTTAGCGAAATAAAATTTTTAAGAGAAAATTTAACCAAAGTTTTTTATGATTTTGTACAAATATATAGCAGTCTGATATACATCTATTTAAAAAAATCTTTATTCCTAAGTCTATTTCAGGTTTAGTACTTCTGGTATTTGGTATTAATCTGGTTTCTATCACATTTATTTATATATCATATTAAAGATCTATTATTAATCTATATAATAAAATTAAAATTTTTGCTCTAACTTAATTTATTATTGAGATATTTGAAATTAATGAAAGAATTTTGTCTAAAATGAACCATTTTCCCTCTCCTTAAACGGCTCATGTCAGCTAGTAATTGGTGTAAGGAAATAAAATTTTATTGTTTTAGTTATAGCATATACCACCAATATACAAAATTGAAGAAAATTATGAGGGGGTAGGGTTGAAACCTTAGTTGATTTGATATGGACACCATATATATAATTTTTAGTTGAAAAAAATATTTAGTTTCAGATATATTATAATGGGCCTATTAAAGAATTGAATAGTTCATTATTCATATTCCATTTGAATTAGGTTCAGTTTTTTAAAATATAATATAATTTACACAAAAATATATGGCTGTGCCGACATTAAATAGTGTATCAGCCCCGATATTTTTATTGTTTTTGGTAATTCTATGATTGTATAGAATAATTTAATGATAGGTTTAAATACAATTTATTATGTTTAAAAAATATTTAAAAATAATACACTTTTTTATTATTTTATTTGCCACTTAAAAGGGATTTTATAGGCCGGCTATTCCACGTCAAATCGATCACGATTCGGCCGACCCCTTTTAAAATTGTTAAAAATTTATGGAATTATTTAGATAGGTAAAAAATGAGAAAGCCGTTTATTTTAACTCGCTAGTACACCTGGTTCCCGAGATACAGGGGCTCAAAGGTCCAAAAAAGAGTCACTTTGGAATTTGTAAAATTTTTATAATGCTTATATCTCAAAAATAGCAAAAAAATATATTATATACCAAATTGTAGGTAAAAAAATCTCTAAAGAGCTATCAAAAAACAAAAAAAATTGTCGCCAATCTGAGCCGTTCACTTCCTGTTTACCTATTTTGCTTTACCTGTGTTTTTAGCAGGGATGTGAACCCTTCGACAAAAAAAAGGGTCCGGGTTTGGGTCTGGTAATAAATTTAAAAAGGACCCGGGTTCAGAGGGAACACAAAAATAATCTCAAAATAAGACTTTTTCATTCATTTTTTATTATACTTCAATATATACACATTTATAATTCGAAATGAGATAATTTATATTTTAAATATTTTATTCAATCGCACAATCATGATATCTTCTAAAATATCATCCTTCGGATTTCCACGTAAATTAGACAAAATATATTTCAACAATGAAAATCCACGTTCTACGCTTACCTAAAATAGATAGTCATTTTTATAATACATAAATTATTGTACTTGTGTTGCCGGTACAGCCATGACGATTCTAGACAAGGTATATAATTCTGGATATATTGAAGAATTTTCCTCCCAGAATTTTAAAATGTTTGCATCTCTATTTATTCCCTAAACTTCCGAGAACTTTTCTATTATAGATACAATAGATATTTTTTGCTCCTTTCTATAAGATGATAATTTAATTTTTTTTCTCTATCTAATAGTAAAATTTCCAGATCATCAATATCGTTATCATTATCATTGTTATCGCTACAACCAGTAGATATTGTTGTAGCCTCCAATATATTGTAAATAATAGAGTTTTGGGTATGCCATAAATCTTCAAGATGGTCTATAGCCATTTGTTTTTGCTCACTACTTAATAAAACCTGATATCGCAGGTCTAAATATATCGAAGCATATACAACACTATTTTGTAAATATTGTTGCTCTCTTATTTTCATATTTTCTAATACTTCATTTGAAAAAGAACTTGTTAATCTCCCTAACTCTAATCGACATCTTAACCATATGCCATAAAAATCCGATAAACATAATTGTTCTGCTTGCAATCTTAATGTTGTTATTTTTAAAGGAACCAGCACACTAGTAAGCTCTTTTACTTGATTCCAATCATCTTCTGACAAAATGATTTCACATGCTTCTATGATAAAATAATTACAGAAATTTTCAAACTTAATAATCGCTCTAGCATCATACATATAGAGGACCAACGTGTTGTGCAATCTAAAATTGCCATTTGCCTTTTCATGGATTTTAATATTCTAACAATTGTGGGAGTTCTTAAATATTTTACAACATCCCTTGCTTTATCAATTATAGTTTTAAAGTGACTATTTTTTAGGGAATAATTAATAGCCAATTATAGCTTATGGGCTGCACATCTGATACAGTATATTTTTGTGGAGAAATCTTTTGTTATTTCCTGCAAATCAATTTCACTTATTTCCTCATAATTATCATCATCTATCATCAATTTCTTCCAGTGAGTGAACATTCATTTAATAATTTGATTGATTTTACTAGATTGGCACCATTATCCGTAGTAATTGAGTAAACGTTTCTATCATTCTTTTTATATTTTCAGAAGTTGAACTCTCTTTAATCTCCTTCATAGCTAAATTTCTTAATATTATATTATTTTCTTTTATATACTGTATATTTATTCCTCTCCCTAATCTTTGGGCGGAATCAATTTTTAATGAAATTAATTTGTTTTTTGTTTTTTTATTTTTGCTTGTATTTTTTTCGATTCATTAACCACTAAGTCCTTAATTTTAAAACGGTTAATTGATGTTCCAATTGCCTTACTAATAGGATCAATAATTTTTTTTAAGAATCCTCAATAATATTTAAAGGCCTTCCATTTATTGTAACAAGCTCAACTAAAGCATTCATCAAATTCTCCTCAGACATTTGAATATGAATGCTTTTTTTAAAGCAAAATTTTTCAATATTATTTTCATCCTTCTTTGCAATACTGACAGTAGACTTTGTAACAATGTCTTCTTCCAAAAATTTGGTTTTTCTATTTAAATATTCCTCAAAGATTATAGAATGATGTCTTTTTAAATGTCTTTCCAGGTTAGTATTGTGTGAACCTTTTATCATTAGGTGGCAGGTTTTGCACTCAGAATCTCCTTTAGTTGCATTATAGTACTCTAACAAAATATCTTTTAGTTTCATACTAAAGAAAACAAAATTTAATTTGTTTAAAACTTAAAAGTATAGACACATAGAATGTATATATTTTTTAATCAGGCTGCATCCAAAATCTTAAAAATATAAATAAATAAATTTTGAAGAAAGAAATTACATAATCTATTTTTAATGTAAAAATAAAATAGTGTCCAATTTCATGAAATTTTTATAAAAAATTAGTAAGTACAATTCTTCTTAATGCTGTTAATTTTATAAATTTACTACCCATACGATTATAGCCTTTTATATTAATATATATTAGTGTCAGAAAATAATTTTATGGAAAGTTAAGAATGCACAGGAACCTCTGGTGCAAAAATTACTTGAAAATTGGATATTCTGTAGAAAATAGGAAAATTTGGGAGGAAATAGGAAAAACAAAACTTTGATCAAGTGATAAAGAAAATTTTAGCTGGGCTAAATTTATTAAATTATAATTTGGTAAAAATAAAAAATTATAATTTAATTTAAAAGGTGCTGGAAAATTATATAATTTCTATCACAATTTTATTTAAATAATAATTTTTTATATATATTTTATGGAAAAATTATCTTTCAAAATAGATTATATTATTGGTTTTCCAGCTATTTATTAAATATATAAATAAAATCTAAACATAACTATTATCAAATAGGTTCATACATAGTTAAATAACTGAAAGGTAACATAAAATAATAAATACAATTAGAAGTTTGTTTTCGAAATTTTTTTTTGCTTTTTATTTAGACACCTTTGCTAAATATATATACTATGTCAAAACCTTGGCGACGCTATCGACTCTAAAAATTGGAAAAAAATAGATGGCGCTTTATGAAATTACGGATTATGGTTAAAATTTTGCTGCTAACTTATCAATAATATACTAAAAAATTATAAATTTCTATTAAATATACTAATTAAACTGAGGGGCAGATTGGTCAAATGCCCATTAGACACTTAATAATGTAACAAATTTCCAATAATAAATATCTTTTGTATAATTTTTTTATTATTCATTTTTATTAATAATATATTGATATAAATGGATAATCAAATTCATTCCATAATTTTTAGTTAGTCCAATTTTAATATTTGAATGAATATCTT